CACATCTTTTCAGCATTTTTCTTTTGGGGAATATAAATACAATACTTTCTCTAAATGGAAAAGTAAAATTAAAGTGGTTTGTGCCTCCCTCTAGGAGACATTGCTCTAGCAGGACTTGAAATCTTAGAAACCATCTTATAAGTATACTATTTCTTTTGACTGTCCTTAGACACCAGCTCAGGCTAACATTTCTAAAGACCTTCTACTTGGTCTCTGGAACACCGCCCCATAGCACTCCACACCACCCCCTTCTGATCATTACGGTCCAACTTTTCCCTCAGTTCAAGGCGAAACTTGATTTCACCTTGCATTTACTTCAAATGCATAGGACTACAATTTTCCTAGAAAAAAAATTGGTAATCTTTATCAAGAATACTTAAAATCATTAGCAAACATTCTTAGATACAATACCCAGGATATATCAAAGGCAAAAAAGATGCAAAAAGAGATTTATGCCTGTGGATATTCCTATTAGCAGTCTTTATTTTCATGACAAATTGGTAACTACTAATAAATCCACCTTTAAGAGACTGAATAAGTAAAAGTATAATTCTTCCATATGGCAAACTGATATGCAAGCAGTAATAGCCATTTGGTAAGTAATTTTATGCCATGAAAAATGTGTTTGTTCTATGTTGTATGTGACTAGTTCAAGTTGGAAAGCCAAACGTACTCTGTGATTCCAACATCATTTTGTAAGAAAGTTAAAGTATTGACCCACAAATATAAATACTTATATGGAAAAAGGAAAAAGCCTTGCAGTCTTATTTCGTACAGTGTGTTTCTGTTTTGTTAACACTATATACATATATATCTTTCTATTTTTCTGTTAATTTTCCTAAAATAATGAAATTCAGTTTCCAACAATGAACATTATTTACTCCTCAGTAAGAAAAATTAAGTGGTACTAAATATTATGTGTCTTAGTTACTTTTCTCTCATTGCTAAGACAAATTACCAGATACCCAAAGTTAAAGGTGGGAAGGTTTATTTAGCTCACAGTTTGTAGAGTTTCAGTCCATAGGTAGCTGGCTTCAAGACAGGACAATAGAGGAGAAACAGTTCATGGTGGGCAGAAGGTAGCAAAGCAAGCAAGCAGCAACATAAGGCTCTTGTTGTCCCTTATATTGTATCCAGGATACCAGAATTAAGGCAGTGCCAAATCCATCAGTGGACTTATTTAGTAATCACCCACCCTTAAACCTAGAATTGCACCATGAATCAATCACACACTCTAGATTCATCCATTTCTGAAAAAAAAAACCACCTATGATTACATGAGGTTTTGCTCTAAACACAAGCCCTAACATCATGTCTGTCCTTGATGTACTTTCTAAGTATGTACAAGATACCAAACCCATTTAATAAAACATTTACACTGTTCACATTTTCTGTACAGCACAATTTTCCAATAGCCATGCATTCATATTCTCCAAAAGTTCTGGTGTGAATTTGTACTCTGGAGGAAAGAAGTGACTTCACAGTTTCACAATTTAAACAGTATCCTGTGGTGACAACCAAATGTGGCCTCCCCTTAACTTCTGGTTCTCCTCTTTGATGTCTAAGAGGCATTGTAGATTTAAGGAACCACTGATTTCCACTCAAAACGCACCCACACGCTTCCTCCTTTTCCAGAATTCCTTTGTTCACTTAAGATCATCTTTCCATGCCTACTTAAAACTAGCCACATACAGGAATTCAATAAGTTGAATAATTTTAATAAAGTAATTATTTTAATACTTAACAAAGGCACCCATGTGTTTTTCAATTAATTGTGCATGTTATGAGGTAGAAAATGAGGTCAGATCAATAGTAGGCCAAAAAGACAAGTGTTTGGGGGATATCACATGGAGAAAATTTTTCCTAGAAAATAAATATGGCTGACTTATTTCCATATACAAATTTGTGGACAAAAAAGCAAGAGAAAGATTTATCTCTATTATTAAATGGGGTTTTTTTGGTAGAACATAGTTAAGAAATGAGTGAAACGTCATTAAAATTAAAAAATCTGTATCCAAACACTAAGTTATCATCTTAATCTGTGGATTACACTTTAAAATATGTTTCAATGTCTACATCCTGCTTTGGCCCATACTATTCTCAAATTAATAAATTCTCACTACCAGCAGACAATTTCCTGAACCTTTAACATAGCTGACACTGCGGCGATTGTGTTACTTGGCCTTTGATATCCAGGGTATAACAGCAGCCTTAGCCAGAGCTCATGCACATTATCAGCAGTCAGAAGTCTGGTAAAATCAAAAACTTCTCTTTATCTTCAGGAAGCTGGTTTATGAAAGAGTATGTTCTAAGGCATGGAAGGTTAATATTTTAGTAACACATGTTCAAAATGTGATTTCCTGCTATCCTCTACAAAAACCTAATTTTCAACCATACCCTCCTGGTAGACTTTAAAAAGATAGACCTCAAAGGTGGCATTGTGTTTGATATCCTCTTGCAGCCCCAGAATAAAACTTAAGTAGGAATAATTGGAGATCTGCACACTCTCATACAGATGACAGAATCGGACTCAATCTAACACAGAAGCTAAAAGAAAAATAAATTTATTTCCCTCTGCCACCCTGGAAAGGCTATGGCTTTGAAACTACAAAACAAAAAAGGAGGAGAGTAAGGCTGAAGGTGCAAACTACATATTCCTTTATAAATAAATTCTTATATTTATGCAGGTTTTCGTAGATAGCAACTCCATTACAATTATCTACACCAGAGTTTCTGTTATGCTTTTATCCCATATATCCCATAAAAACAGTTAGAATGCTTCCACACTTGGTATGTATATTTATGTATTCATAAACCACACGTATGTTTTGTCACACTAATATATTACTTGTTCTATATACCTTCCTACAATCAAAAATATTTAGAGAATGAGATACAATAAATATACACTGAAGTTTTACCTTTTCCCCTACATTCAGGGGATTACCACATGCACACTCCTTGGGTATTGCTTAACTCCAGAAGCCATGAAGATTTTGCTGCCCCACAGCAAAAGGAGCTGACCAACATTATACCTGTTTTTACTTTATCATCAACTGTGTACTATAGTTACAAATAACCCGCCCCTGCACATCATATCATACTGGTTTTTCCTGTGAGGATCCATCTAACCAGTGCATGGGCTGCAGCTCATTCATAGCTGTCAACATAATCCCACCCCTTGTCCAGTAGTATCATCCAACGATTGGTTGGTGTGGAAGAATAAAGACACACCTACTCACCTTGAAAGACAGCAATCTAAAGGGACCTTTCTAGCCTGAGTTCCTACTGGGGTCCTGTGAGGCCTCTGTTAAAACTACAGTTTAGTTCTGTTCCTTTCTAGGCACAGTCCTATTTTTCCCATTCCCTGACTGATTGCAAGGGAACTTGGCCACAAATCCCCACCCCAATTCTTTTCCTGCAGAACCATCAGATCCATGTCCACCAGCATATACTACAAGTCCATTTTGCTTGAATATCTAGTGCCTAAAACATTGTTTATTGAGCCAGCAAAAATTCAAGAAGTAGAACTATATCTCAGTTGTCTGAAGCCTCATTAGATTCTCACCAAGTATTGATCAATAATACCTGGAAGTACAAAAGTACTCCTTGTTTTTCAAACTGTGGGGAAGAAAAATTTGGATTCAGAGGAAATCTGGCAGGTACAATGACTTCTCTTCCTCTGAGTGCCTGAATGGACCCAGGGTCACAGCTTCTGGACAACACACTTTCTCTGTGTGATCTCAGCCACCATGCTGCAGCTCCCCTGCTAACACGCTCCCCTCCTTCACTGTCATTACATCTCCTGTCCCAACCACAAGGCTACTCAGTTCCAAGAAATGCTAGCACATGGCCCACAAGCAATAAAAGGTACCTACATTAGCCTGGAAGTTCTGTGGGGGAATTAATTTTAACTCATTAGAGGCTGTGAAATTAACTCACCTGTAGTCCTGAGATGCTACATTGCTCAGTGGAACTGACTTCTGTAGCTCACAACCAGTGTGAGCCACTACTGCCCTCTGGAAGGGAGAAATCTATTGTACTGTGTCAGCCCCTGTATAGTCCTTACATTTCTTTTCCTTGAAACATAGAGATTCCTGAATACAGAGCCCTGAAAATTGGCCCTCCAGAAATTTAGGCTTTGCCAAACAGTTATGAATGACTTCAGAGTACTTTTACATAAGAAAATTTCAGTACTATTTAAGTATATTTTCTGACACAAAGTATCAACTATCCATAAAATATTTTGCTTCAAAAATGAAAACCTATAAGCGCATAGATTGTTATAAAATGTCTAGTGAGTGAAAACATAGTTTTAACCCTAAATACCAGATGTGACATTTACATCATGTAACATAATATTTAGTTTCAACTAATAGACTATTTCAATGAAATACTCTTTTGAAAGGTATCTTCATGCTTCACATGTTATATTTTAAAATGGAAGTATATAGTTGGTTGATTAAATAACACTATTAAAGAGAGTAGGTTTATTTCATAAACAGCAATTATTAGGTAGATAATAACATGTAAAAGATGATGTGGTACATGAAATAAGTACTAAAAATGTAATTACTCATTTATAACTTATATTTTATTGAGAATACAGAAACCTTCATAGCAAGGTTCACAGAGTGACATGGAAGATAACCCTAGCATCTTCTATATTTTGATACATGTTTTCTTTAATGCTAACAATAGTGAAGCTTATTCATTGAAGATGATGTGTATCTTCAGATTCTCATTATTGAAATATTGAGGTTATGACTTGACACAGATACAGATTGTTTTCCCATTAATATACCACTATACAACTGACAGTAGATGAAAAACAGTGAAGTAATTATTTCTGAAATCCGAAATTCTAATTAAGTTATTCTAATATTCACTTTCAGACAGCATTATCAGATATAATTAACAAAGGTGTCAATTATAAGAGACAATGGTCACACACTATTTACTATTGAATATACAAATGAATATGGAGGATCAGCACTTACCTGTATTACATGCTTTAATTTATCAATTATCTGATTTATTACTGCATCAGAACCTCTGACTTTCACCTCAGGATTTCCAGACTGGGCTTTGATTCCATTTCCAACCACACGCTGAGTATAGCTAAAGAAGAGAAAAATGAAAGACACATGACTTAATAACCTGGTCTGCATATTATCTGCCCTACGGCTTCAGCTCATATGGGTTCAAAATTTCTTCTTAGAAGAGAAATAAATCAATATAAAAATATACAAAAACATATTATATCTATTCTTGGAACATAAACTGTTACAGCAATAATGGTTTTTTTTGAGGTAAAATGTTTATAGTGAAAATATGCACTATTCAAAAACCAATATTTTTTTCTTCTAGTACTCAATCAAAACTCACTTCATTTTAAATGTTATTTACCAATATGCAGAGTTAATATATATCCGACTTTCTGACCAATTCTTGCTGAATTACACAAATAAATGCACCCAATTTACTGTAATTTAT